TCGTATACCAAAAACTACTTCTGAGCAAGCCTACAGAGTTATTTTACAGTTAGGATGGTTGAAATATCCTTGCTACTTTTAGAGTTTCAACACCCACCATGTGCTATTAACTCTAGTACTAACATTATTTTCTAACCTTCGGTTGTTCCATAGTGATCCAGATGGTCCACAATTATAATAAACTAATGAGATTCCTTTATACTACTTGAGGAAATGTCAACTACAATCTGTAAACCAACACCAGTAGGTTTGGGTTAATGACTGCTTGTTCTTAAGAAACATAAACCAATGAAATTCATTTCTAAAATTTATAAAGTTTTCTTAGTGATTTTACTGAAATGTATTTGGGGACAAACCTCTGGAGAAGAAGAATGTTAAAATAATGTTGAATCACTTAGAGCATATAAAAGAAGAGCTATATTCTGATCTCAATCCATGCAGCCAGCTCTCATCAGTGAGAGCTATATTTGGGGGTTGAAATCAGAATTCTGGCTCTTAAACATTATGTGGACTTGCTATGTGGGAAGTAAATAAAGCCAAGATAAAAGACAGTAATTTCATTCAGAATAAAATGTAGCTCACAGATGAAATTTTAGTCAGTTAACACAGGGTGGGTTGGTACACATAGACACTATATCCACTTGTTTAAAAAATTGCTTAGGCGTTGAAAAATTGCTCTGGCACTTCCTGGAAAGTTATTTTTAATACAGGTAAATGGGTGAGTCTTGTGTAAAGTAAACCGCTTTAAGTATCATAAAGAGCACCTTGGAAAATGCCTGAATTTTTCTTTCAAATACGTTTATAACCAATCTTCAAATAGTATTTTTTCCAAACTCAAAATTGTATTCTAAATGCTTTAAAATTCTTCTCTCCCCTCCCCCCGGAATTGACACACCTGTAAAAGTCAAGTTTATATTGGAAGTGCTGACATGGTTTTATGGGTAGCAACTGCAAAATTGCTACTAAAACATTACTACAGATGTATTTTTATGTCAGTTAACTGGTGCACCAACCTCTCTGAAATAATGTTAAAGAAGTATAAAATATAATACCTTGAATTCAGTATATATTTGGGGGAAAAACTAAAACACCATGATCTCCATAGCAAAGCCACTGGGTGAGGCCTCCTACTCATTAGTAACATTAAAAGCAATTCCTGAAACTCTGGAAAGCCAATAAAAATATCTGGTACAATAAATAGAGGTAAAGATGGGATTGTAACTAGCTTACAATAACCAATCAGAACTTTCCTGTGGCTTTGATATGGCAACTATAAACTGTAGGGTTACCACAAAATCTGAAATTTACAGGACACTATAGTAACTCTTGAGAAATATGACACTATATTTTTAAGGTTGAATTAAGTAATAAGACTTTATAGTACTATTTAATATTCAGTCATCCCAATGGGCAATATATTTCTATTTGTATGTTTATAAATAAAAACATGTTCACTACACTTGAGGTCAATTTGTTTCTGTGGTAACTGTCCTACAGGTAAGCTTTGCAGCTTTTAATGATGTTGGAATGGAATACTTTCTTGGGAACTTGTTAAACTGAAATTCATACTTCCATATGAAGTATATATACCTTTTTCCAGGATTATGTCATAGTGCAATAGAAATAGTAGTGATGGTGTTTAGAAAGTCAGGATGTCACTTTTTGTGATTTGCATACTTCTATAATCTGGAGCAGAGGAAGCAGCTAAACTATTTAGCTCTGGGGAGGGTGGAATTCCCATCAGAATTAGAGAGATCTAGGTATAACATAGCATGAAAACCAGACTTCCTGAAGTATGAACTACTGGAGGTATTACTAATTACAAAGGGCCAAAAAAGGAAGGACTTCTTCAAAGGATTATGGGTCAGTACTGTTGTTAGCCAATTTATGATTTAAAATTTTGCCTGATGGAGTTCAATTTCACTCTAGTCGAGGGATTCTTGTTCTTCACCACTGGCCCTTCTGCCATCCATTCTCTTTTCTTTATGGCTGTTGCAAATTTTCCTCATCTCTTCTTCATACTTGATAAAATTCTCCCCAAACCTTGTCCAAGCTTTGAACGGAACAGTAATAGTATTACGGTAAGGTGGCCTCACCTCACTTACCTTCAGGAAAATTCCATATTTATTAGAGCCCACATCAAAGTAGAACCTTTTATTGTCCACTCTGAAAGAAGTCCCCTCCGGGAGTTCAAGCGGGTCATCATCTCCGCCTCTTCGCTCTTCGATGTCCCCTTCGCCATAGTCTTCGATCAGCTGAACCAAGGCATCGCGAAACTCGATCATTCCCTGCGCGGGGAGGACGATCGTCTGCTCCTGGCCCAAACCGTGGCCGAAGTAGCCCATCACGCCGGGGCGCATCACTGTCTGCCTAATCCGCAGGAAGCGCCCCCGCTGGTTCTCCTTCAGGTCCAGGTAGTACTTGCGATTGTCCCTCTCGATGTAGTCCGTTTTGAGGAC